CCTATGTTTTTCTGGGGAACACAGAGAATATTTTATTAGAAAGTGAATGCAAACCTGAAAATACAGCAGAAACCAAAAAAAAAAGTGAGAAATAGGCCATAAGTAAAATATTTTAAGGAGATGAGCTGCAAAACCTCTCAGATAAATTAATACTCATGAAAAAAGATTACACTTTTATCTTGCCTAGACATTTTTACCGAATAAGTAATGAAAAAAATGAACAAAATAGAGATTTTGGAACCAGCATGAATCATTAGTCAGCTTCCAGTCATCCCTTTTCTCTTCCCTGACAACTTTTTTTCCATTTAGATTTGAATATGTGACAAAGAGCTAGTAATTGGAATAATGAAGTTAACTAGAAACTACATTTGAAATCAGAAAGCATAAACATCATCCTGAGTGCAATAACTAGGGAAGTGAATGCAAATTTTGAAGTGAGAATATGCCAAATAGCTCACATTTCAAAGGACTCTTTACTAAATAAAAAATAATTCGTACATATCAGCAACTTGAGAGGTCAAAATTGCAATCAAAAAGAGATTTTTCCATTTTATCTGATGTTTAGGTAAAAGTATATAATCATTATAAAGACTAACATTGTCAGAAATTCATTCAGTAACACTAACATAAGAGGAATGCACACATATGACTTACAAATTGCATCACAGCATTTTTCTTCACTCATTAAGCTGTTTTACAGATTTGTACTAAATAACTGGGTGCTTATTTCTGAAACATCACAAATCATCCATGATTCCTACTTTGAGATACATAGCTGCTTTCCTTTAAAGCATATATAATTCCTGGCTTTTACAAATTGCAAGTTTTAGAGAACAGGTCTCTAAAAAATAAACTTCTGGAAATTAGGCAAATCCAACAATATTCAAACTAAAAAGTCCAGCTCTACAGTTGTCTGTAATTACATTTGAGAAACTATAATTACCATGGAGAATATGAGGGAATCACTGATCACAGCCTCTTCCAATGTAAGAAGGAAGAGATAGGTACCCAGTTAAGCTACAGTTTGGGAGAAACAAAAGGAAATACACGTCCATTGCACACCAGGTGACTGGGTCCTTACCTCAGGACCATGAACCTTTTACAAAGGTTACAGTCATGCAAAAAAAATCCATCCAAGGATTCATAGGTATCAGACTGTTGCCTCTGGTTCAGAAAGTCACTGGACCACAAATTATTAGAGTCCATGACTTAAGAAACTGTGAGTGTTTAGAATGGTCCTATGAAGTCTCCCCTGTCAGGATGCAAGCACAGATATGGTCAGTATCTATATTAAATACCCACAGGAATTATTTTGAAAATCACAACTCAACAGAGTGGAGAAAGAAGACAGGAAAAAGGTCATTTGTTGGAAAGCATAAGAAGTTCAGCAAGTAAATGCCCATCAGGCTTTAATTAAATGTTATTACGATATATGACAGACACGAGTTCAGAGGAAGATGACAGGGGACAAATGCCCATCAGGACAGAAATGCTGGCTGAGACCACATAAGTTAGAAAACACGAAAGAAATGGGATGTTGTGACTCCTGATTCTTTCTTCTTTCCCTAATCACTAGCCAGGAGAGACTGGATGAGGAATCAGCAGTCAGTAAGGTGAAAAAGTATGTTAAATCAGCAAGAGAACATGTTTGTGACTCACTGAGCTGTTTGTAAATAATGAACATTTACACCTCAATAATTCTGCTTTTCTGCATTACAGAGAAAATTGATTATGTGTCATTAGAATAAGAGATTACAGCAGCTCTTGGCAAATTTACAGCAATATCAGATTACTGAAATCTCAAAATATTTTTCATCTAAATAGGGAGACTTTTAAAAATCTCATTGAGTTCACATTGTGGCCTGAGGAGTCTTTTCCATCTCACTGCATGTTCTGTGCAGCATTTAAGGCTCAATGGTTTAACACAAAAAAGTTTCTGTATGAACTGAGAGTTCAAAAGTCTGACCCACACATCTGCCAATCCCAAGGAATTTATTCAGTTCTTTGCATGGGCATACACCTGCCCATGAATGACACAGCTGCCCTGAACTGCTGCTGGGACTCAACACAGCATCAAGCCAGTCCACCAAATTAAACTTTTAATTAAAAAAAATATGCTATTTAACTCACTTGTTTCTTAGGTAGCACAGGAAGTGAGTAAAACATATATATTTTTAAATTAAATTATGCAATAGAGATTAGAGGAAGATCAATAGACCTTGGAGTTGGAATAAAAGGAGAAAATTTCTTGCCTTGTTTTATGCTCCAGCTCCCCTAAAGAGTATGATGTTGCCTCTGTCCATACAGATAATGCTGTCTGGAAATTATGGAAATTGAGCCTATGGTCCCTGTCTCACATGCACTGCTGCTAATTAAGTTCTTTGTGACTTATCATTTGACTTGAAACACAGAAGGGGGAGAAATTTCCTTTTTTCACTCCATTTTTGAGAGAACGGTGGTATTGAAATAAGCTTTTATGTGGTTATTTTCCAGAAAATCTGATTTCAGATCTGCAAACTGTTCTTAAAAGGGCTGTTCAACATTAAAGGCTTCCCAATGTAATGCCCATACTCTAAGAGTATATTGCACATAATCCCAGAAAGTAAATGTAGTTGTTCCATGCCACTTTCTTACAAGCCTTACTGCATCCTGTGCCTCAACATGGGATTATCAGAAGTCAAATAGGATTACCTACGGAAAATTTTGATCTCTGAATTGTGAAGGTTAGTATAGGGATTGGGTTTTAAAAAGATGGACAAGAATAGAATGAAACTTTAATGGACTAGATCAACCTCAATAAACTATCCTAGGAAAAAGTTGTATCAAATATCACTGAGAATTGGGAGTCAGCGCCCTCTTCTTTCTGTTCCCAAGGATCAGAGAAGACATGCTGCTGGTTGCAACATTCTCCTCAAAGCAGAAAATTTGGTCCCACTTATATTTAACGAGCTGATTTTCAATTCTGGCCCTCAACATTAGCAAATGAGAGGCCCTCCCCCAAAATAATTCACATAAACCTATTTTTCCTCAACATTAGGTATCTCTGAGTTTAGTAGTCCCTCCTCTCAATCTATTTGGCTCACAAAAGAAAAAAAAAATCACTTACAACTGGATAGTTTAGTCCAGGAAAGACTATTTTCTGCCAGCTGGAGCCATTTGGTTACATTGGCCTACAAGCTTTTCGGTAAATTGGAAAGCCCCTTTTGTAGCAAGCTTGCTGTTTGTCTGAGCAAAAATGACCCCCTTCCACTGAGGAGACCTTGGAGAAACATGTCTTTTTTGGCACTGCAGGGAGAGGTGTGAGGTTAGCATTGCTGCCATGTTCAGAGCAGACTGAGAAAGGGTGAAATAAGGTAAAGACAGCCCACATGGACAGGAATGGCACAACTGTAGGTCTTAGAGCAGCTACATAAATTTTGAACCTGTAGCATGAAGGAAGACAATGAGGAATACTGTAAAGACCAATAAAATTATGGTAGCGGACAAAAGAGAAACAGGAAATCATTATTTGCTATTTCTCAAGATACAAGAGCTCTAAGACACCCACAAGGAGCAAAAATAAAATTAAATACTTTTTCATACAACACAATTAAAATAATAAAATCTCTGTCACAACATGGTGGGGGTGTCTTGGTTTTGGAAGACAGGTGTCTGCTGGGGAGGGCAAGAGCCTCCCCTGGAATGAGAATGTAGAACCCCTCTCTCCGAATCATTATAATTCTGAAATCAAGGGGCTCTCAGGCAGAGATCTGGGGATAGGAATAACAGTTCTTTACTAGAATAATGAGGCAAACAAACAACAATAACTACAGCATTAACAAGAAAACAGAACCAAGGACCCCATGACAGCTTTCTTGGCTGAGATGGGATGGAGGAGAGGCTTTGTTTTCACAAACCCCTCGGGCAGTCAGTCCCAGTGCTCCTGCAGGGCTCTGAGGAACACTCAGCTGGAACAGCAGGGATGAGCTGAGATCCTGGGCTGGTGGCTGAGGTGGAACAGCAGGGATGAGCAGAGATCCTGGGCTGGTGGATGAGGTGGATCAGCAGGGATGAGCTGAGATCCTGGGCTGGTGGATGAGGGGAGAAGGAGAAGAAGAAGCAGCAGCTCTGTCTGGGTGATGGCGAAGTTCCCTTCTCTCCACAGCAACAGCTCTCAGCAAAGTGTCCTTCTCTGAAGCTGAAGAAGCTGCCAAACTGTCCCCACCCTCCCCTTTTCCTGCCCCCTTCCCACCCTGGGCCCGGCCGAACTCTGTGTTCTTCAAGTATCCACCAAGTACCCACAGTTAGGTTTTCCCCACAACTAATGGGTAAAAATTCCACAGGTAACTAAAAGAACTTAAAGAAGGACACCTAACCCCCAACAGGGGGGAAGGCAGAAGGATTGGACACTGGAGAGATCCATCCACAGTTATAAATTATGACAGTGACAATACTGAGGCCCATTCCCAAGCAGCACCTGGGCACAGCCTTCCCTCTTCAGCTGGCCCTAAACCCTGTTCTGGGCACCCAGAGACACTCAAAAGGCAAACTCTGGGGTGTCCCCAGGGCCCTCATCCATAAATTTAAAAAAAGGGCTGAATCTGAGGTTCAGAAAAACAGCAGTGCTGACTCAAGCTATATTTTGTATTTCTTAAAGGTCACATTCTATTAAATGGCTGTATTTCTCCCTTCCTGAAATATGTACAGAAATTCCCAATTTACTCATGTTATTTTTATCATATAATTTCTTAATAAAGGTCTTAGTCAGGAGATTTAGTCAAGCTAATGTGTTATTTCCACATTGAGTTGAACTTAGCAGATACCAAAATCCTGACACTATTAGATATAGGGAAATTACCTCCCTTTCCCAGATTTCTTGGTTGTACACATCCTGCTAGCATTTGTGAATTAACCTAACAGCTGCTACCTCCTGTTGAATACAACCTTCAGAATGGACCAAAATCCAGGGATGGGATGGAGAAATAACCAAAATTCAGTGTCTGAAACCAGGGCAAATAATGCACAATCCACCTCACAAATCCTCATATATTCTGTAACAGAGAAATGGGAATAAAGAGCAATGTTTCAATTCTCCCAGAAATTATGTACTTGGATATTTTTTTATTATTTTTTTTAGAATGCAGTCTATTAAAAATACAATAATATTAAGTAATAAAAAATACATATGTCTCAATGGGGTTCTGAGGCCTCTCGTCCAGTTCGATAATCCAGCGTGGTGGAATGAATCAGGATGGGTACGATGAAGTACCCACAGATAGATTTTAGTGTTCACTGGGACTGCATGGTCCAAAGGGCTGCATTCAAAGACCCAGAGGTGTGGGTAATCTAGCAATAAATAGGGGTACCTGAGGGCAGGGAGTCCAATCACCAACACAGACCAGGGACGTGATCTATTACAGAGTGATCCCAGCAGCATCCTAATTTTATCCTTTCAGAATCCCACCTCCCGTGGTCTCAGGTTTATTCCCTCCATGTCAGGAACCCAGTCCAAGGTATGATCTATTCCAGCTGGTTCAGTTCCCACATACATACATTTTTAAAGGAATACTTTAGTACAGATTACTATTTCTAATTCAGAATAATTAATTTGAGACCTTTTTCTAATTAATGTAGCATTCATTTTTAATTGCCAAAAGATTAGATGGATTCATCTCTCTTTTGCTGTGTAAGTTTAAATTAACAGCTTTAAATGCCCTTGCTATTTATAGAAAGCTATTTTGTCAGTTTATTTTGAAAGAAAAGCATGGTTCTTTTGTTTTTGAAGGAAAAAGAATAAATTAAATGTGTGATGAAGATACCAACATAACTGGGAAATTAATCTGATTTTTATTAAGGGTAAATCTTATTCTCTTGTGCCATGGTTAACAGGGAAATTTCTCAGAAAACAAACTGGGAGGAGGTGTGAAGAGAATCCCTTACTACGTTTTTGCCAAAAACTACTTAATTCCATTCTCAGAAAAGTTAGTTACTGTTAAAACAGAGGCAAAAGAATTTAAAAACAGCATGTGGGAATGCTGAAATATGCAGCATGTTACTCTGCTTAAAATAGTTTACAAAATTGATGCACAAACCTTGATCCCACAGCAGTTCCTCCAGCCATTCTGATTTCACAAGTAACTGTTAAATAGCTGAAAAGGAAACAGAATTGCTGATCAGCCCACAAGGTTAAAAAAATAGAATTGCCTTTGTCTGTATTTCCCCTCCTCTCCTGTGACCATGTTCGAAGCTGCAATGCGATATCTCCTGCACAGTGTTCTGAAAAACACATATTTCCAGGACAGAATGAGACATTCCTTGGAATTTGAGTTGTTTATACAAGGAGCCATGTGTGTGCAAGCTGGTCTGGCTATGGAGCCACCAAAAACTTGGTTCTTTGGCATAAATGCTTGGGACAGCCCTGGGACCAAAGCCTTACCCCGGCAGTGCTTGTGCTTGGAATTCAATCCCTTGGAGCACGGCAGAGGTTTGACCCACCACAGATGAGAGGAATGATGAGCTTGTCTTTACAAACAAGCTGTGGGTCTGCTGATGAGATGTAGCTATCAGTGAGAGACGACAGAAACAATGGGATGGATTCCAGTAGAAGATCAAAGAGGCACTGAAAGAACACTATGAGTTCCACAAAAGTTAAGAAGGGATTATGCATTGGGGGTGAGGGGGAAGGTACCCCAGGTATCAGGCGTTCCGGGAAGCCTGTACCTCTCAAGTACCCCAGCCTATGGGGAAAGGGAGAAGGGACAAGCGGCCGGGAATTAGGATAAAAAGGAGGCTGTGCCCTCCAAAAATTTGAGAGACCCCAGGGGAATGCCCCATGGCCTCTCCCTTTATTTGAATAAAGAAAAAGGACTCCTCTGTCTCCTTTCTGGACATAAACCTCTGGTGTTTGTGGATTAATTTTCCTGACACAGATATCTGCCAGCCATGACACTGCAAGTCCTGCTCCTGCTTTGTCCCTGCTGAGCCCCAAGGATCCTCAGTCCCCATGAACCCAGCAGAACCCAGGCTGCATAAACCAGCTGGGGTCAGAAGTTCTGCTCGACAGCTCTCACAAGCATCGAGTCCCACGCTCCCAAACATCAGCCTTCAGCAAATCACAGTCACGTATTTTACTAGGTTAATTTAAAGACTGCTGACTCAGCAAGTTACTAAGAAAATAAACAAATTAACTGGTGTTTTAAAGCATTTTAAAATTATATAAAACCTCATCTTCTACTTCTAGGGATCCATTTCCAGTCTTGATTCAGCACAGAGAGCAAACGTAGGGCCTAAATCATAAATTGCTATTTGTGAAAATTAGAAAAACATATAATTTTATTAGGCATTAAATTAACTACATAGAAAGAATAAGAAAACATTAGGTTGTCTCTGAGGTTTTTTCCCTAATAGACAGTATTGCATTTAAATTAATACTATAATTCTTAGGCTACTCTTGCATGGACCACTTTGATTATGATAAAATGTAAAGCATACATCAATGGATTTAATATCCACTGCATTACTCAACTGCACTTTAAACTAAAGCAAAAACAAATATGATTTGATGGGTTGCTTTATACATAACAATTTCCTAGTCAAAGCTCATGGGAGACTTTGCTAAGGGTAATCTTTACTGGTTTATGTATTTTTTTAAAGATCATTTTAGTCACTTGTTAACAAACAAAACAATGGGGTTAGAGACAGTTTAAATTGGCCATGGCAAATAAATGTCAGTTCTACATGTACTTGCAGTTAGATTAAATGTTAATGACATACAGGGAAACAACACAAAATGTGTCCACTACTATTTAAAGCACCAGCATGAAACACTAGAGTACCAAAACAGAATAATTAATTACATTTGAAAGGCAGCAAGTTAACAGGTTGCTAATTCCATCATTTGCATAGTGATGTGAAAAGCAAAGAATGGAGGAGACAGCAGCAGTTTATGGTACCTCAGCAAAGTCCAAAACAAAAAGTTAGATGCTGTTTATATCCACCTAAGATTTCAAAATATTTTTTAATATGAAACTGGAAATATCCAGATTTTGTACTAGCTCCACTTAATAAAACTGTGAACTTTGCATTGTTCTATGACAGTGTATTTTAATCTTCCTTTATTCTCTGTCTTTTGAATCTGATTAAAGTGCACCTCCAAACAAGCCGAAGAATGGAGGGGAGGAGGTCACAGTCCTTACATGATGTTAGTATCTCTTTTCTAACATTTTCTTTAACAAAAGATCCTGCCTGTAACGGCCTGTGATAATCCTGTATATTGAAAATTGCTCTAATTTGGTTTTCCAATACAGGAAAGGACTAATAATTACACTTCCATTTCATAATGTAGTGGAGAATTCAGAACCCTTTTCACTGAAACTAATTATCAAATTAGACAAATGCTACTCCATTTACCAAGTAAACAACTTTTGGTCATCTTCTTAACTACTGAATAAGCTTATTAACCTGAAAGCACCTGCAATGTCTTATATCACAGCTCTCTTGTTAGTTTTACAGCTTTTGTTTCATTCACTCTTTTGCTCCATAACAGTAATTCTTCCCTTGACAAACTGGATTCATCCATCAATTTCTTTGCTCCTACTCTTTTCCCCAACTCTGTGTTCAGCCTCCTTATATACTAGCATTTCTAGATTTCCGCTGTAAGATGACTGGTGTGATTTGGAGATACACACAAGTGCTGGACAAAGCCTGACAGACACTGCTAACACTCCAGCCTGGCTGCCTGGCTATTCAGATACTGAACACCAATAAAGGCTTGTTTCATTTTTCTAAGATTATTTGCCAAATCCTTGACCCAGAAATTGTTGTCCTCAATGTTCCTCTAGATTTCTTCCCTGTCAGGCAGGAAGAAGTGTTTTTTCTGTCTTTATTTCCCCTTCTCATTTTGAAAGCAGAAAGATCCTTTCTTTTCCATTCCACTAACACAAGGCAATAAATCCATTTGGCTGGTTCTCCTGCTTAGTTCATGAAACAGTTAAACTTAACGCATCCAACTGCTACTCTTAATGTCCTAGTCTTCAGTTAAGAAGCCTCTCTCAAAGAACTCAGATTTTCAGCCATTGCCTTCTGTTCTGCTGAAAGATCCCTTCCTGCCCCAAAGCTGAATTTACCAGCTGGAGGCTCCACATATTTCTCTTCTCACCACACTCTTTTCTTCCTGTGCAGATACTACCAGTGCTGTAGAAGCCTTGTAAATGGCAGGAGCGGCCTAGATAATTAATAAATAGCAACAAAAATTACCCCCAAACATCCAGCTGATGGCCTGTTCTTTCCAGCCATTTCTGGAACAGCACAACTCTTTGCCTGTACTTTTTGCAAGTTCTAATATTGAGCTGAGTCAGGCATTTTTCTCACCCTTTGCACTCTGCACGACTTTGTCAAGATACTGGGATATATATTCCATGTTTGCTGAAGAGCTTTGGGTGTCACCTGTGAGCTCCTACTTCAGTTACACCAACAAGCCTGAGGAAGACAGACAGCATTCTGGACTCCTTGTGAAAAGGAGAAAATCTGGATTCCTTGTAAAAATCTACATTTCTTCGGCTTCTTTCTGAATTGGTTATTTTCTTGTGTGACAAATTCCAACTGCTTTGGTAAGGTGTAATTATTTTTTTCCAATAACCAAAGTTCTTGGTGCAGATCTCAGTCCTGTTAGAGGCTCCTTCCTGTTCTTTGGCTCACTCAACTCAATATCTGCAGCAAGTCTTACTCTGACAGACAAAACCCCTGATTTTGAATTTGCAAAACTAATCCTGTCTAAAAAGGTTTATTGCTTGTTTTTAAAGAATTTAGTGAGGATTCAAAAGCCCCACTTGAAGAGGTAATACAGAAGACTCATGATCTATCAACCACTACATTCACAAGATTATACCACCAGCACAGGCCCAGCAGCAATTCTGGGTTCTCAGATTTCACTGAAGTGGGAGATGAAGCACATCTTTGCCTCTGAGGGCCTTCATTGTAGCTTTGGAATGTGTGTGGGTGCTGTCTTTCCCCTACTGCAATGCACAGTCAGCACCTGAGCACAGATTTAACAGGGAGACACTGAACAATATTCAGTCAAACCTAGTCTCAGTCTGGGCAAGGAGTGACTAGAAAGTGAATTCACCAGCCCAAAGCTGCCAAGGTGATACCACCTGTGCCAGTGTCCTGCTGCTCCAGTTCCTGGGCAGGGACATCCCAAAGGGAAAATGGAGAATGGAAGCTACTTGTTCAGCCTCCCATGAACATGTCTGCAGGGAAGCAGGATGAATCCCACACATGGCAAGTTTGGGAAATTGTTATTGTGCCTTGGATCTGCACCAGACACTATTCTTCAGGCATTTGTCCACTAACCATTACAGATTTAAGTTTAAACACCTACACACATTTTAATAAGGTGTATCCCAGGTCTAATTCTCTTTTCCTCTACACTTAACTCTGACACTAATGGGAGCTACATGTGTGGGTATGCACAGAACTGACTCAGGCATTTGATCTTTTTCTTTTTAATGCAATTAGAAAAGCACATTGAAATACTTAATCTGAATGTTTGGAGCAAAATGCTTAATGTGCCTAATGAAGGCATAATATTTACATTTAGAAAACTAGTATCCAGGCACCTCAATAATCAAAATATTTGCAGAAATCACAATATAAATATAAATTAAAAAATTATAAATGGTTTCTTGGCAACTGTTCATGAATCTCTTCGTTTATTTGGGTTTGGGTTTGGGAGTGGCTGGGGAGGGGTGTTGGCTTGCTTCTTCTTTCAACCAGAGTTTTGGATACACTTCAGTTTATTAACCAAATCAAAAAACTATCTGCAGCTGAGTGAACCACAACAGTATTTATTGTTGAGATGAATAACAAGGGATGGGATGACTGGTGCTATTAAGACAATTATTGCACAAATCTATCAGATAACACATCAGTCTTGAGGCATGTGATTTTGAGGAGCAACAAGTCAGCCATAGCTCACAGGTAGACATGATCTCCTTGTTACACAACAATATATAACATTTTATATATTAAAGTCTGGTCCAATGGACAGTTGACACAGAGTTTGTTTTTATTTAATCACCTATCACCTTTGCCAAGTTCTGCCACACTGCATCTGCCTTTTATCCATTAGACTACTAGGTCACATACACATATGCTTCTTATTATAACCTTTATACTCCTAGCTCATTCTATAAAATCACACTATTACAGTTCAAAACCCTTCACCATCTTACTCAATACAATTTCATACTTAAGGCATATTCTTACTTGCAACTATAGGAACATAAGCCTACAATTTCTCCACTCAGTATCTGTGTATCTTCACCATCACATTAACACAAGTTCTTTCCAAGGCTCTAAGTCAAACCCTTCAGTATCTGTGGAAGTTTCTATTTTTTCATTTCCCACATTTATCTTTTCAGAAGAAGCAGGCAAGCCTGAAGGCTGTAACTTTAAGTCACTTACTTCTTTCCTTGTAAGAAGCTATCTGCAAACAATACACAATATTATCTCTGCCAAATAACTTTAATCCCTTTTCTATTTGTGAATGTTTTTACATAGGGCCTTGCTCTGCTAACTGTTACAAGTGTACAAAACTTTAAATCCCCACAACACAGCGAAGGCCACTCATGTTAGACAAGGTGCTACACACCAGTGTTCTGTGCTATTTAGAATTGTTTGCCTTATGTTACAGAGATGATCTGGCACACAATGTGCAATCAGAGCTGTTACAAAGAGCCTTTAACACTGACATGAAAAAGCTAAGTTTTAGGAAGAGAAGAATCTGAGAAGGGAAACAAAATGGAAGAATAAAGCCTCCTTAGAGGCAAGAGGAAAAAAAGGATAAAATATTTAATTTGCCAGACTTGAAGATGTGCTGCTAAACACCACTTCCTGCTGCCTGTTTGACTGAGTATTCATTTTGTTCTTTTGAAGAGATTTTCATTTATTCAATCTATTTTGCAGCTTCACATCCAAATCTTTTCCTGAAGTTGACCCAGAACCTCAGTTTTTAGCAGGATGCTGTGCAATTTTTTAGAGGCTCCTAAACAATTCCAACATGGGAATTGAAAGACAAAGCAGAGATCTAGGTAGGAAAGAAAAATTATACTGTACTCACATTCCTAAATCCTAAGTTATAAACTCAATATAAATATAATCTTGTAGGGTCTGATGTTAAAAATTTTCACAATTTCCTTATCAACTGGCTTTACAATTTAACATTACTTTTCCTCCAAAACTTGAAGTTCTTCAAACACAGCTTTTATATCATTATTGTGAAAAAGGAAATAATAGGAAACAATATCCTAAAGTCCAATATTTCATACACATACAAAATATCACTCTGAGTTCATCATCATCAAAGATGATCTTTGCAAAATTCAGCAGGCAGCCTTTTTTTTCATTCCCAGAAAAAGTTTATGGCATTTGGATGTATTTTTGCTCATTACCTGATGTCAGAGTAGGTTCTGTGGTTTACAGTTATGTTTTTGACACAGTTATGAATTTTGATGTGCAACTCAGTCAAACAATATATAGGGATTCCTACAAGGTCGTCTTCATAATGGACTTTTGTTTTAGTTTTCATAACTATTGTCAGTTATGAAATCCAGTGAATTTATTATGAAATATTGGAAAATCAGAGTAATTTCTAATGATATTCAAACTGCCAGATTTAGGTTTCAAAGATGTTTGAGCACTTGCCACTCCACACCTCCACAAATCAAAGGAAGTGTTTCAAAGAATAAACTATCTAAACATTGCTTTGGTACTGTTATAGCACTGAATATTTTTTAGAATCATCACAGAATCCTTAAGGCTGGAAAAGACTTTTCAGGTCATCAAGGCCAACCATCAACCAGCACCACCATTTTCATTATCTCACCATGTCTCTAAGTGCCACATCCACACATTTTTTGGCACACTTTCAGGTATGATGACTCCATCACTGCCATGGACAGCCCATGCAAATGATTTACAACCCTCACCACAAGAAAAAAAATCCCTAATCTTCAAGCTGAGCCTCCCCTGGCACAGCTTGAGGCCATTTCCCCTTGTCCTGTCCTGGTTTCTTGGGAGCAGAGCCTGACCCCTCCAGATGCCCTCTCCTGTCAGAGATTTGTTCAGAGCCAGAAGGTCCTCCCTGAGCCTCTCCTTTTCTCCAGGATGAGGTCCCCCAGCTCCCTCAGCTGTTGGTCATAAAGTTTGTGCTCCAGACCCTTTTTACAGAGCTTTGGCAGTAAGAAAAAAAACAACACAATCAAAAGCCAAGAAAATAAAACTTAAGAAACCTGCAGACCCACGGCTGCACAAAACCTACTCCAAAATGTTCTCTTTGTTTTTTCTGTATACTTGGCAAGTGTTCAGTAGCTAAGTTTTGACACTTATTAGCCATTAAGCACAGATGGCTATTAACTATCAAGAAGATGTGGTCACCATAATTTTCAAAGAGTTCAGTTCCGGTGCTGTCCAGACTGCAGCAGCTTGTGGTGAGATCTGCTGCTCTCAGATGCTGCTGAGCTGCAGCAACTGCAGCCCTTGCCCTGCCATGCACACCAAGAATACTGGCAGTACTGTAGTCACTTTTAAAAGGTACAAGATTTAGGAGTAATGAAGAATTTAACTAAAAATAAATTTTAAAACCCCACACACCCCAACAAATAGACAAAACTCTTTTATTGTCATGAAATAAAACATCAAACCGTCTTGTGAGTTTAGAGGTAGAGCAGAAATCTGACCTTGGGTTTCTGCACCAAACCACTGCAGGATTTATCCAATGCACCATCCAGAACAGCAAAATCAAAATCATCTATACCTCCCAAGGTATTTTACAGCTCATCCTCCATTTTTTAAAGTGGCAGATGAGACCAAAACCTACTTTATTCTGGCCGTGAAGAATCACACTTTGAGTGATTAAAACCTTGAGATCCATTTAAAAATTAATTTCATTAAAGGTAAGAAGTTAAGACACAAATAAAACAGAACTTACTTTATCATAATATACCACAACATTTTTATCAAAAGTTTGCAGAAAGAAGATGTTGAAATGCCTTTCCACACTACTTTAAACCTAAATTCTGACAGCAGCAGCCTAGGACATAATTAGAGCGGTTACCAGTTCTGTGGTTGTCTTCAGAGCAATTGACCACCAAAGCCTGTGTTTTACTTCAGGAAAAATTGTGTTTAGCAGCTGTGAAAACTGGACAGAAATGAGTTTGGACCTGAGTAACATTCCTCTCAGTGCCAATTCCATCTGATAGCTGATCCCACAGGAAAATCCTCTTTAGGATCATTTTAAGAGCAAGCCCAGCCTTGTGTCAGCCCCTGCCCAGCTGCATATGAACCCCAGGAGGGGAAGGAGGGATTGATTTGGAAGCTCCTGACTGCTCTCAGTGGACCTGGACCCATTCCCACATTCCCAAGCAGCAGCTGTGGAGCAAGATTGTGCCTGATGTGCCTCACTGGTGTTTGGGGTGACCAGGCTGTGGGGCCCCAGCTGGGCCAGGGAAGAGGCTCTCCAACTGCCTTGGATGCAGAATTGGAACTTGGCAACTTCCAGAGCAGCCAATGGATCCCTAGCAGGTGAATGGGGAAGGAGTAGCTTTCCCTGTACCAGGCCCAGAGGAGGCCTGGGTACACCTGGGCTGTTCCACGGGAAACAGTTCCCTTTGGGAACAACAGGGCATTCCTGGGAGGCTGTTCTGGAGCTGACAGCAGCTTTGGTGCTGGCCATGGGGACAGGGCTGTCAGGGAACAGGGGGCTCGTCACCATGACAGGGCACACTCACATCTCCTCCTGTCACCATCAGGCTGGAGGCTGTGGGCACTAATTAGGGAGTAATCTCATTCCATCACCATACTGGCTGAAGCAGGTATTGGTGGGAACAATAACCATGGCAATGGAACCCCCAGAACACTGCTTGCCCCAGCAGTTGCCTTGGCGACAGAACCCCCAAGTGGTGTTTGTCCCAGGCAACCCCCAGGCTGCCCAAGCACCATGGCAGGTACAGCAGCACTCCTCCTGGGGCTTTTGCCCTCCAGGTACCCACAGCTGGCTGTGCCTACTACTATCTCACCCCATCACCACTCTCTGCTTCCCCCAACAGAGAGGTTCCCTCTCCAGGTGACAGTGGTGAAGGTGCCTGGCGTGAGCTTCTCTGCCCTGGGAGCTGCCTGGGAGCTGCCTTCTGTCCCCAGGCTGCCACTGTCCTCTGGGCCTGTCCAGCTCCACACCGCCTCCCACCAGCTGGCCCCAGTCACCACCAGGCAGGGCGTCCCAGGGACCCTGGGGCAGGTGGTGCATCTTCCCTCTGTGGTGCATCTTCCCCAGCTGGTGCAGCTGCCCCTCGGGGCTGCTCTCTGTCCCACTGCCTATGGCTGGGTACAGCAGGTGGTGATGGGGACACTGCTGCCCTACCAGCCAAGAGCTGTGGTCCAGGAAGAGGCCCTTTACCCCATAGGCTCTAATGTGTTCCACATCCACAATCAACCTGCCCTGGCTCTACCAGCTGGCACAACTACGATGGAGCCCGAAGGTAAATTTTGAGGGCTGGCAAAAGCCCACGCACCAGCAGACAAGCTGAGGAAAGCTTCAATCTCTTGGGGTTCCATTTTCAGAAGTGATGACCACGGATCTCCCTGGAGACGGATCAGCTGCCACCACAGAGGCCATTCCTGAGCAGGCAGGGGACAGCACAGACACACATCTATTTGCCTGGCCTGACACTGCAGAGAGTGAGGACACCGCCCTTGACAGCCCCAGCAGCTCCACCTTGGATGCTCTCCTGGAAGAACTCTCTGAGTACCTGGAGGACAGTGGCTGCCTTGACAATCAAGTGGAGTTGGCACAGCAAGGGGACAATGAGGACACCGTCTTGGCCGCCAATGTCCCCAGCCTGACAGCTGAGGACTTCGATGAGTTCATTGAATTCTGTGAATTCCTGCTGGAAGACGACCATCCCAAGAAGCCGGTGGTGGAGGTGCAGCAAAGGAATAGCCAGGATACCATCCCTGCCATCCCCAACCTGACCCCCTCTGCCAGCCCACCCACTGCCTCCCAGCCTCAGTCATCCCACACAGTGCAGATGGAGGAGGAGGCGCTGCAGATGCAGCCAACAGGCATCATCACTATCCCTGTGCCCCCAAAAACAGGACAGCTGGCAGCAGCCAGGCCAAGAGCTGTGCGCCAGCCAGCACCCCCACGAGCTAAGAGACCTTCCCGCAGGACCATGGCCCAGCCGGCAAGAAAAAGACGACGGCAGTGATGCAGCACCAAGGCCAGAAGACAATCTGAGCCAGTGACCTACATCCAGAGCCCCAGCCCTCTCCTACACTCCTCATTCCCATTTAGTCATTAAAGGCTTGTTTTTCATCTCCTCTCTCTGCTAGGGTTCATATTCACAGTGGGAGGGGGCCCCATGTGGGTCCCACTGGGCTGGCGTAGGTGACAAAGAGGATGGGGACATTGTTCTGGGTGCTGGGCATCTCTGGGGGAAACAATACTGGTGAGAGTCCTCAGAGCATCAAGCAGCAGGACAGGCACCACGGAGTCACCAGGAGCAGGGAGCACGGCGCTGGGCACGTGCTAAGCTTCCCACTTGGTTTGGCTGCCAGAGGCCAAGGAAAGAAGGAGCTGCCCCAAGCAGGGGAACCTTTCCTTGGCAGGGAGTGGATGAGATGGAACGTTGTGGGATGGTTCTGTTGGGGATTTGAAATGTCCTGAGTGCTGCCATAGGGATTTCTCATTTGCCACAGGGCAATTTCTCATCTCTAAAAGGACCAACTCTCTCTGCAGAGCATCCTGGCTGGTTCTCTCACCCTGTCACTTGTCCCCCTCGGCCTGCTCCCCACATTTTCTATATTGAGAAGGATTTTCTGTGGTACGGAATGTCCCTCCAACCAGTTCAGGTCAGCTGTCCTAGCCATGCCCCCTCTCCCAGCCCCTTTAGGACATATCTCCCTTTGACGGGGTCTCTGTAAGGAGTATTCAAGGCAGGTTGGATGGGGCTTGGAGCAGCCTGGTCTGGTTGAAGGTGTCTCTGCCATGGCACAAGGGTTGGAATTGAAATGACCTTTAAGGTCCCTTCCATCCCATACTGGTCTGGGTTCTTTGGCAGACACAGTGAGAGAGGGAACAGCTTGAAACAGTTTCAAAAACTAAATTTTCCACTGGCCTATATTCTGTCATCCCATTTTACGAAAAAAACAAGAAATCTAAATTAAAAGGAGATATCAAGCAGGCAAGAATCATCTGCTGTAGCCAAAGGAAACTGAATCTAACATTTAACCCATCTGGCTTAAAAGAACTGTTTCAAGAAGTTGACTATCTGATATACCTTAGAAGCAGGTAGAAGGAGTATAGACAAGAGCAAACCATATTCCTACCACTGGATAAATCCAGATTTTGTTTGGAGTTGTTGCTGTATGTATGTTAATGTGTGTCACATGTGTTAATGTGATTCATTAAGTAAATAATTAAGTAAGTAAATAATGTTGCTTGCAATAGGATAGCATATTCTGGAAAAGCACCCATAGTTCCTTAGAAAGAATATCAGTATGAAATTTTTATATATTTTAACAAGAACTCAGGAAGTGCCCCTGGCCTTTGCAGGAGCTCACCTTGATAGTAAAAAATTTTAAAATCATAGAAAATTCGGGGGGTTAGAAAGAAAGTTAGGCTTGGCAAGCCCTGGGAAAAGTAGGCCCTGGGAAATGTTAGGCCTCATGCTTGCTAAGATCATGTGAAACTGCACCTGTGTAATCAGTATATGATGAATGATAAAATTGTTAGATGTGATTAGATATAATTATTGTTTAAAGAACATGAGGAACAATGTTAGGGGTTTGAAGGGGATCATGAGAAATCCATGCTTGGGTAAAATCAATGCATACAATAGAACAATGTAAGTTTAATAATTAATATATACGTTATATAATGGTAGAGTATGAGTTTTCAGCTCAAAACCAAGTCGGGTCAGATTTGGGTTTGTGTACCCCTGACACCCAGAGCTCTTTAATAAAGCACCTTCATATAATCATTTGTGATTATGTGTTCCTGAACACTAACAACCTGAAATGAGTCCAGAGGCAACCTGCAGCTGCCCACCAAGCAAAGTACAGTTGGAATTCTGTTTCCCATGCCAGGTCTGAGCCTGGTGGGTGACATATTTTGTTCTGAGTTTTAACCAATGGGTTAAGGTATGATGTACAATTAATTAAAAAAACAAACTCAGACCCCAAAAGATAAGATTAGACCTGAAATGAATTTGTGACCAACATAACAGTCTCAAATCTAAGACAATCCTTCAGAACTGAGACGCTGTAAAGAGTTTTTTAAAAATTTTTAGACCTCTGCATAAAAGCACATTCTTCTCATTATAATAGCACTAAAAGATCTAGATCTATAAAAGATCTATACTGAATTTTCACAGTATAGGAGCACTACTCTTCCTCTCAGGAATGACACACATATAGTTTTTCAACCTGCCTTATCTCCTCCCTTTCCCAGAACCACAAATCACTTATCAAAACACAGCTATGTCCCCAAAGTGCATGTACCAAACACACTATGACATCTATTTCACTACTCTCTTGTTTACTACATAGAAAGCATCCAGATATTTTCAGAGACTTATACTGCCTCTGATGAGAAGTTCATTCCTTATGTCTTAGAGTCTTTCCTAATGAGACCAAAAAAAAAAAAAAAAGGAAAAAAAAAAGTATTTTAGAGAGATTTTGGGTGTGCAAACGCCAATTGACTGTGACAAACATTAGCCTGCACAGCATTAGCAAGACCAGAGAAGCTCAAGTGGAACTCAAAGAATCCAAGGTTTCCCTAAGAAACAGAACAGGAGTAACAGTAACTGCAATAAAACAGTGAATGAAAACACCTTCTAAAATTTGTGCACATTCTATAGGTTCTTATTATATATATCTGTGAATGACCCCAATGGACCAGATGTGCTGCACTGAGCATCAGGACCCTTAGAAAACACCATCCCTTCTTATATTATTTACCATTATAACTATCCTTCCACTTCTGCAGCAGCACAAAAACTAATGCAGTCTATCAGGCATAAAAGAAAATGTAATATGTGACAAAATATTGTCACATAGCATAGAGATGCCTCCAAAGGCTTTTATTTCTATTAACATCTGATTGCTCACTCTTACATAAAGTCTTATAATAATGAAAATATTCATTTCCCATTGTTTTTGTCTAGTTTCATCACCATAATTCTTCCTGCCATTTTGGGGTAGGTGTTGGGGGTTAGGGGTCTTTTTTTTTAGTTATGGCTTGCCTGTGGAATTTTTACCCATTAGTTAAGGGGACAACCTAACTGTGGATACTTGGTGAGTGCTTGAAAAAAGACAAAAATTTTAGCTGGGCCCAGGGGGGGAAGGGGGCAGGAAAAAAGGAGGGTGGGAACAGTTTGGCGGGCTTTTCTTCAGCTTCAGAGAAGGACACACTGGGGGCAGAGCTGTTGTGATGGAGAGAAGGGAATTTTGCCATCACCCAGACAGAGCTGCTTCTTCTCCTTCTTCCCTCTTCATTGGTGGCCTCGCACCCCCTGCCCTGCCGGGACGTGTGGCAGTGCCAGGCACCGCTGTGGAGCTGCTGATCCACCTCATCCACCAGCCCAGGATCTCAGCTCATCCCTGCTGTTCCACCTCATCCACCAGCCCAGGATCTCAGCTCATCCCTGCTGTTCCAGCTGAGTGTTCCTCCGAGCCCTGCAGGAGCACCGGGACTGCCCGAGGGGGGTTTGTGAAAACAAAGCCTCTCCTCCATCCCATCTCAGCTGAGAAAGCTGTCACGGGGTCCCTGGTTCTGTTTTCTTGCTAATGCTGTAGTTATTGTTGTTTGTTTGCCT